CATAGATCATTGGGGTTTATAATATGCACCAATAATAGAGCAATTACAGTCTTCCATGTATAACAGTGCAATCATAAATCATTCGGGTTTATAATGTGCACCACTAGTAGAGTAATTACTGTAATCCATGTATAACAGTGCAACCATAGATCATTGGAGTTTATAATATGCACCAATAATAGAGCAATTACAGTCTTCCATGTATAACAGTGCAATCATAAATCATTCGGGTTTATAATATGCACCACTAATAAAGCAATTATGGTAATCCATGTATAACAGTGCAATCATAGATCATTGTGTTTATAATATACATCACTGATAGAGTAATTACGGTAATCCATGTATAACAGTGCAATAATAGATCATTGGGTTTATAATATACATCACTGATAGAGTAATTACGGTAATCCATGTATAACAGTGCAATCATAGATCATTGGGATTTATAATGTACGTGTACCACTAATAGAGCAATTACAGTAATCCATGTATAACAGTGCAATAATAGATCATTGGGTTTATAATATACATCACTGATAGAGTAATTACGGTAATCCATGTATAACAGTGCAATAATAGATCATTGGGTTTATAATATACATCACTGATAGAGTAATTACGGTAATCCATGTATAACAGTGCAATCATAGATCATTGGGATTTATAATGTACGTGTACCACTAATAGAGCAATTACAGTAATCCATGTATAACAGTGCAATAATAGATCATTGGGGTTTATAATGTGCACTGCTAATAGAGCAATTACAGTAATCCATGTATAACAGTGCAATGATAGATCATTGGTGTTTACAATGTGCACCACTAATAGAGCAATTACTGTAATCCATGTATAACAGTGCAATAATAGATCATTGGGGTTTATAATATGCACCACTAATAGAGTAATTACAGTAATCTACATATAACAGTGCAATGATAGATCATTGGGGTTTATAATGTGCACCACTAATAGAGCAATTACAGTAACCCATGTATAACAGTGCAATCATAGATCATTGGGTTTATAATATGCATCACTTATAGAGTAATTACTGTAATCCATGTATAACAGTGCAATAATAGATCATTGGGGTTTATAATATGCACCACTAATAGAGTAATTACAGTAATCTATGTATAACAGTGCAATGATAGATCATTGGGGTTTATAATGTGCACCACTAATAGAGCAATTACAGTAATCCATGTATAACAGTGCAATCATAGATCATTGGGGTTTATAATGTGCACCACTAATAGAGCAATTATGGTAACCAATGTATAACTGCAATCATAGATCATTGTGGTTTATAATATGCACCACTAATAAAGCAATTACGGTAATCTATTTATAACAGTGCAATAATAGATCAATGGGGTTTATAATCATATGCACCACTAATAGAGCAATTACTGTAATCCATGTATAACTGCAATCATAGATCATTGGGGTTTATAATATGCACAATGATAGAGCAATTACAGTAATCCATGTATAACAGTGCAATCATAGATCATTGGGGTTTATAATATGCACCACTAATAAAGCAATTACGGTAATCCATGTATAACAGTGCAATGACAGATCATTGGGGTTTATAATATGCACCATGATAGAGCAATTACAGTAATCTATGTATAACAGTACAATCATAGATCATTGGGGTTTATAATGTGCACCACTAATAGACCAATTATGGTAATCCATGTTTAACAGTGCAACCATAGATCATTGTGGTTTATAATATGCACCACTAATAAAGCATTTACGGTAATCCATGTATAACAGTGCAATCATAGATCATTGGGGTTTATAATGTGCGCCACTAATAGACCAATTATGGTAATCAATGTATAACAGTGCAACCATAGATCATTGGGGTTTATAATATGCATCACTAATAGAGTAATTATGGTAATCAATGTATAACAGTGCAATCATAGATCATTGGGGTTTATAATGTGCACTGCTAATAGAGCAATTACGGTAATCAATGTATAACAGTGCAATCATAGATCATTGGGATTTATAATGTACGTGTACCACTAATAGAGCAATTATGGTAATCAATGTATAACAGTGCAATCATAGATCATTGGGATTTATCCCGTTTTTAAAAAGGATATGATTAGCTGCGGCAGTGAATCTGTCAAATTTTGCTTACATGTGTCTGCATCCCAACTGCACACATCTTCCAAAAAGGTGCTTTGTGACATTTTCCAAGTGTCACTTCATCCGCAGGCAAGATAGTGAAGAATCAGGTTATCAGTATTCGGTGGCATGTATGGAGTATATGCGTCCTACTTTTCAGGAAATGAGGCTTTTGCGAAAAACAAAAACAAAACAAGGATCTAATCATTTGTAGTTGTACATTTTTGTTTATAATTACCCCCCCCCCCCACCGTGCTCAGTCACCCTGATACCTCGCTAAATTTGCTGTACTTTGTAGATGAGGCATTAAATGTCTGGTTAATGATACTTTATACTTTCATCAAAATCACAAAGTAACTCAGATTGTTCTTACCTTTCACAAAATTATAATATTTAATGCCAATCAAAACATTCGCTGTCGTCAACTTTTACCTCATTTTCATAATCGCCGCCATGTTGAGGTCATCATCCGGGTTCGAATGTACTGTACAAACTATTCGTAAAAGGGGTGTGCATTTGACAACTTGTATTGGTTATTATCTATTTTTGGCCGTTATGTGTATAGATCTTGCAACTTTGTTTAAAATTAATACATAATTATTCAAATCGGAAAATGTATTTAAAAGCATGCATACAAACGTGAACGAATCTACGAAATTTTTAATATTACGTGCACCCCTATGTATAATTGCATCGACCAACGTGAACTTTCCCGCCAAATCCATTCACAACAACTCAGCTGATTGCCATTGGGTCGCCGAGACTGTTCATTGCTGCATCATCTTTTCCTGAGTTTTTGCAAAAAAATCACTGCTTTTCGAGATTAAAATCACTATGCCGTCAAAGGTGGATGACTCAATTCCAGAAGAAGTTCGAGGAAGGTTAGTATAATTTAAATTCGTACATTTTACAGGAGAAATGACATACAACGTTGACATTCGAGCACTAGTACAATCTTAGTAATCGCTTTAAATTTGTGATTTAAATTACCGAGCAAGAAATAAATGTTTGTTGTTTTTCACAGACTAGCTAAACTACAGAAAGACTATGAAGCTGGTTCCGTGAAAGACAAGGCAAGTGATTTGTGTTTTAATAATATTATTGTTGTTGACACGTGTTTAAAGAGAAAGAAAACATGTCCTTACATCACCTTGTAGCATGTAAATTAACACGCTGAAATTAATAATGGTTAGAGTATGTCATTATTTTCATACCATATTTCTGTGTTCAAGTCCGTGTTGTCTGTGATGTGATGCGGCCATAGTTGTATTTATGAGATAATAATTTAGTTTTATAAATTCAAAATGAAAACAAGAGTGGCAAATTTTCATAATTTACATTCACCTTTAAAATTATGGCCGATCACAGAATTGTGATGTTATTGAAAGTCATCATCTCAAAGTTTGTAGTATCGTGAAAAAAAATGTTTTAAAACACTTTCTTGGCATTTGTTGACCTTCCATGGTGTCTTTTGACCTGAGATGTCAGGAATGTCAATAATCAATCTAAATATTTGCAATCATAAAGAACATTGTGGAAGTAAATTTTATTAGTCCCCATTCAGGCGCAGCCTGAAAAGGGGACTACTAATTCAGGTTATGTCCATAATTCCGTCTCCAACATTATCAGTGAAACTTGGCAGGTTGATGAACATGTCCCCTCCGAGTATGCACGTAATTTTTTTTCCAGATCTGAAAATCCCAAGTGGGTCTTTTTCACGATTTTATCAAAAATTGCCTCTCCCGGCAACATTGACAAAACGTCTGCGCATGCTCAGAATAAATTAATTACTGTAAAATACTTTATTTTTGCTTGCAACATTTTTTTGCTATTTTCGCTGAAGGAATGTTTCAGTTAAAATAAAATCCAGCGAATATACCCTTTTCTTATATTTTACAGTCAACTTGTCAAAAATCAATGAAAATAAATTCAATACAAAACACCCAGAAAAAGTCTTTTCAGCGAATGATAATTCCAGCTGAAATAAAATATTTTACAGTAGATTAGATCTGTGAGTAAGGCTGCTGTTATTACGGCACGTGATTTCTCCATTGTGTGCAATTTATTATAGTACTGTTTATACATGTATTCTGTTTGGCTCAGTGGTCTCATTCACCCTCGTTACTAGA